CTTCCTTCCTTCCTTCCCAGAACAAAAATTCAGTCCTGTCCTTCCCTGTCCAAAATCCTGCAGAGGTCCACATGCTTTCCAGATAAGGTCCGAACTCTTGACCCTGGCTTAGCAGAGCCTGCTTACCTCTCTGCCACAGGTCTCCATCTGGAACAGTCTTTCCTTCCTCCCTTCCTTTGGGGAACTTCCCCTGAGGGCCTTAGGCCGGGTTGCTATGCCCCTGTCACATCTCCCCCTAAACCTGTACTTCCTCCACCCTGGCTTCTGACACATTGGGCTCTCATTTATTAATTTGGCATCTATCTCCAACACATATCCGGCATCCAGTAAGTGTGTTGAGTGAATATGCTTAAAAGACACTGTCCTGTGTATATGAATAAAAGTTGACACTGACAAATACACAAGGAGATACTATATGGATATTTAGATTCCTGGCAAACTTTGTGCATCTCACAAACTGAAAATTTCAGTAAATAAAAGGAAGTAAATAAGAGATCAATCTTATAAATAATTGAACTCGTTGATTAAATAAATAAACTAGGAAACAAGAGGCGATTTATGCATATATGGTCTCGTCTCTGAAGTCATAAATTTTTTAAAAGGCAAGGCAATTGTATTGCTTCAGAACGACACTATGGTTTAAAATAAATTTTAATCTTGTTTTCTTGTGACTGTATCATTAAATATGTAATATGATTAATCAGTCATGTGGCCTTTTTTATTTTGATTGAAATTTTACACGTGTATCTATGTAAGGATTTGCACATAGGATAATAGTACAGCCGAGATATAGCCTGTATTTTTCCATGGGCGTGTAATCATAAACACGCACACATGTCCACACATACACACATGCACTTATGTTTCATTGGGATGTTTCATTCAGATGTGGACCCCTGAGTGGAAGGAAGCACTATGTCAGGGTACCCTTTCCTCAAATTGCTGCCAAGGCTAAATGTTGCCGCTCATAAATGTTTGCAGCCTCTCTGAGTACTAAGAGATCTCTGTGCTGCTTTGCTTTGAGCTTCCCTGGCCTCCAAAAAGCGTCTCTTTACCCTTTATGTCTCAGCCACGCAGGCTTGCTTTCCTTGGGCGTGCCCAGTCTCCTACTGGGGCTGTTGGCCTTCTCTTATTAATTTCTAATACACTTTTGTAGAGCCCAGCTATAAACCCATTTCTCATTTGCGTAGCAAATATTTTTTCCTAATGTGACTGTTTTTCATTAACTTGTGGTATTTTTTGCTCTGTGTTTCTTTAAACTTTCAGAATTCTGTACTTCTCTATTACCTTATTGCTTCTGCGTAAGCTGGCTTGTGTGTTCGTTTCCTGGGGCCACTGCAACAAATCGATATGGGCTGTAGTTTAAAAAAATGGACATTTTTTCTCTCACAGTTGTAGAGGGCAGAAGCCTGAAGTCAGTTTCACTGGACTGAAACCAAGGTGTCAGCAAGGTGACTGTCCCCCCAGAGGCTCCAGGGGAGATACACGCCTTGCCCCTCCCAGCTTCTGGTGGCCGCTGGCCTCCCTGGCTTTGCTGCTCCGTCACTGCAGCCTTCAAGGCCAGCACCTCGAACCCTGCTCATCTCCACATCGCCTTGTCCTCTGGGTTTCGCATTCCCTCTGCCTCTGGCACAAGGACACTGTGGTGGCACTTAGGGTCCACCAAGATGATCCAGGATAATCTCCCCCTCTCAAAATCTTTTATCACATCTGCAAAGATCCTATTCCAGATAAGGGGATGTTTTCCTGCTCCAGATTAGGACCTGACATCTTTGGGGGTGATCATTTCACTTCCTCCAGCTTGGGTAAGGTTTTCCCCAGCCAGGGCTGTACATGTAGTCGCCTAGATGTTCTTAAAGGTACTGACGCCCTCATTCTGCCTGAGAACCTGTTGTTTTATGTGGTGTAATAGAGGGGCCCTTCCACTTGGGCCAGATTAAACCACTTTATCTTTTCCCGGACTGAATTAAAAGAGCCCTTTTGTTATTGATAAAAATCACGTTTGTATACCGTTTCTGGATTCTCTGTTGAGTTCTATTTTGATTTCTCCATTCCTACGCCTTGGCCAGATTAATGTGATGACTGTGACTTTAGGGTATATTCTTTTTTATAACGTTGAAAGCATTCACAGGTACACATTTCTGACGCAAGATATTGCTTCATTTCGTGGCGGCTATGAAGTGCTCACTTATTCATAGTTTTCTAGAGACTACACAGATTCACTTTTCTGTTTGTCCTTTGATGTAAGGATAGTATAAGAGTGAGTTTTTCAATTTGCAAGTAGCTAAGATTTGTCTTACGAGTTACATATTAATGGCTGGTTTCCCATTTTGTTAGATTACCAGCAGAGAGTGAAGCTTGTGGAATACCTCTCTTTAACTTTCGTTCAGGTTTTCTGAATGGCACTAAAGAGTTTTTGTTAATGTTCCACAGGCTACAAAAAATTGTTTTGAGGGGTTTAATATATAGAATGAGAAATACCTCTATAAATGTATACATATAATCAAGTTTGTTGATAGTATTATTTAATTTTCAAATATCCTTATTTATTTTCTATTAGATTGGCCCAGTTTTGAGAGACGTATTTAGAAGTATAATATTGTGTTAGTGTTTTAATTGCTTTATATATTTAGCTGGTGTGCTGTTCGGCGCATACTGATTTATAACCAGCTCCATAAATTATGCCATTGCATAAGAATGGCCTGCTTTTCCCCATTACATTTAATTCCTTCCCCCAAACTCTTATTCTGATCTTTACGGAGATTCTTTATCCTTTGGTTATAGATGAGTATTTCTCAACTTTCTTTTAAGGAGTTTTTTTTAGAATATTTTTTTCCTAATCCTGACACCCCCTCCCATGGAATTTTAACACCACAGATATATTTCACATTTACTGTATGTATACGTGTGTTTTATTTATAAAAACAGTAACTTACACACACACACACCAATTCTCAGCTCCTTTAAGCCAAAAGCAGCACCCCACTGAGAATGCACGTAAGAGATTCTCAGCAGACCTCGCGCCATAAGGTGTCTCATCTGTTTCCAGAATCTCTAGCGCGTACATCAAACACATCTCCATACTATATTGCTCACCACCAGGCCTTCTCCCCTTCGCCCTCCTGGATTGTGTTTGGTATTATTTCCTGTTTGGTTAGAGTCCATCCTGGAGTATATTCCTCGTATGAGTTGTGTAGTTAATATAGTCTCTAAATCTGTATATAGCTGCAAATATTTCTTTCATTCACCCTGGCGAGTGAAATCCTCGCCTGGGCTTCAGTCTTTTCTTTCCATAGTCTGAATTACCTTCATGGTACAAATGGTTAGCTCCATGCTGGGCTGATCCATTTTCCTTGATAGGTAACTATTTTGGTTTGGGCCAGAAGTTTGTGAGATTATTTGTTGGTCCTCTTGGCGTTGAGTCATTGTACAGAATGTGCCTGGATGTGTCTTTCCACGTTCCATTTGCCTCCATCATCCATTATCTTTTCAACATGTAGACGTAGGTCTTTCCAAAAGAGGAACTATGATTCTTCTGTTATTTGCGAACTTACGCTTTTTTGCCTCTTTTTTCTCTCCCAATGCACCTGTTGGTCACATGTTCTATATCTTCGATTTAATCCATCACCCTAAACCCCTATCACCCTTAAATTTTCCTGCGCGCTCCAAAGCTTTTGGGTTTTCATCTTGGGTTTATCTCTCTTTTCCAAGATTGAACTGCAGGAATCGCTGCTCTTCCCCCACATTCTTCCCTCTTCTCAGCCTCCAGGTCCTCTCTACACAATCACAATCAACAGTCCATTCTTATCAAAGGAAGATAAGACTTTGGCGCTTGGAGGCCATTAAGAACAAAGCTTTGTGCCTGACTTGACCCTGAAGGCATTTGAGCTCGTGGGTGAATAATAAAAATACTGAAAAGTCAATAAAAGAAAACCAGTTCCCTTTTGTGATTGGGAGGGGGAGTCCATAAAAACACAGGAGGGAAAATAAACGGGATAATGTTGCAACCCACTCACCTGAGATCAGGTGTATGGACCTATCACTACCCCGATTGTCCCCGAGACTAAAACTTACTATAAAAATTTATATGCTTGTGAAAATGTGTTTTTTTAAAGTCATTTTTTACTTTGTTTTTATTTCCGTTATTTTTAGGCTGTGCTAATAATTATAGATTGCTCGGCAGAGCATTAATTGAATTCAGTAAAACACACTTTAAACAAGATGGTAAATTCAGGCAGATCACTGATAAGTAGCCCTGATCCCCACCCCCCAAGAGCTAATACTTAAAGGAGACTGACTTACCACTAACTCTTTTAATTCTCACCAAAGCCTTTGAAAGTAAATACAGATATCTACATGTTACTGAAGGAAGAAACTGGAGATTAGTGAGATTAAAAAGGCGGTGTGTAACTTAGAAAACCAGCTGGAATCCAGGTCTCTCTGGGCCCAAACACAACTGTTTTACATTCTCTGCTGCCTCTTCATGTGTAAATAACATCAGAGCTCATGAGAATGAAAAACAAGGGTAAATTTGCACTGTAGCTTTGAAATTATTATTGCAGTAATTGTTGAACTGCACAATACAATAGTCAAAAAAAACAGACTGTAATCTGTGTTCATGTTACTACTCTACATAAACTCGTCTGATAGAGTTTTCAACACCAATTGCTGAAGTGCTTTGCTTTCAAAATTTGAATGAATGGTTTGTAATAAGTTTGTTTAGACCTATTTCAAGTAGCATCCATTTCGGTGTTCTGACTTTCTTTGTCTCTAAATATTTTTTCTAGGGTCAACGTCTTTTCGAAAAGTTGCTCCAACTGACTTCACAAAATATTGAAATCAAGCTAGTAAGTGATGTAACGGCTGATTCAAAGGTATTAGAAGCCTTGAAATTAAAGGGTAAGGCCAAGGTTGATATGCTACTCTACCACCGGGTATTCTATTAAGATACCTTTAATTTCACCTAATACATAATTTCTTTATAATTAATACATTTCACTTAGTGTACTTATTTCTCCTTTGACAAAGTGTGAGTAAAGCCTTTAGATGAAAGAACTAATTAATCAATATTATGGGATTTTTAATAGTGCTGTTGCATATTAGTTGATGCAAAATAATCTACTGGCCATTAAATGATAGTTAACTAGAAAGAAGGTTCTTTTTTCTTTGAACGTTTCAGTGATGTAATTAGAGGAAAGAGCCACTTCTGATCAGAACAGACATTGGAATTCTGTTTCTCTTTTGTTCCCCAAATGAAAATTATCCTCCTGCTGCACAGAAATCGAACCTTGATCTCCTGGATCCTAGGTCGATGCTCAACCTCTGAGCCACGCCTGGCCAGGCTGATAATATTTTCGAAAAACTGGAAAAGGCCTAGTTTAGTGGATTGACAGATACAATCCACATGGATCAGAAATGTATTATTACCTTTCCTGTTTAAAAAACATGAACTTGGGTTCCCACTCGCTGAAACTTTGTTATCTGACACATTTGTGAAAATGGATTCCTTTTCGCTGACTCTGGGCACCTGAATCTGCAGATGAGTTTTCTCGTGGAGCCTATTTGCGTGTACTTGGGCTTTGATGATGCGTGAAGGGACGGAATGCAGATGAGTTAGAAGAGAGTGAGGGAGCGGACGAGTTCTGTGATTTCCTGACTGTACATCTGAAAATCTGTTCTTTGCCACAGCTCATCCTCAGCCTTGTCGACACAAGCAAAGTTAAAACCTGGGAATACTGGGGGGCGTAACAGCCTTTCTTAGGTGCTGCTGAGCATTTGGCTTCTCTAGATAGGAAATAGCTATTAGTGAATTTATGGTAAAGACATGGTTTCCATCTCTTATGAACTATGAATTAAAACTTCAGTCATTGCTTCTCACAAAATAGGCAGTGTTTGAATTTCACAAGCTTATGTATATATTACTACAACTTAGGTTCTTATTATATAATAGGAGTTCTTACCAAATAAGAAAACAAGTGATTTTCGTGCATAATAGTGGAGCAATAAACAGGACCTTAATTCCTCATAGCTATTTTCTAGGTACCTATCTAGGCCTATCTGGCTTTTATTAACATACATATGTGTCTATAGTATCATATATATATATATATACACACACACACACATATATATACACATATTTACACACACACATATATATAATATCTTTACAATACAGTTGTATTTCTCTACACTCATTCTCTGGCAGAGACATATTAAATCATAACAATGATTTCAGAAATATTTTTTATGAAACCATGTTAAATCTGTGTTTGAAGACCTTTCTTTCTTAAGGTTATCTTTTAATTTTTTAGGAAGGAAGCCTAGTCTTTTGGTGAAGTTACAGGAAGGTTTGTCCAGAAATAGTCCACAAAAGACAGATAGGCGTGAGGTGGCCATGGGCACCTTCGGGTGTGAGGAAGTTACTGCACATAGAGGCTAACTAGACACCCTGTGAGAACAGCACGACTGAGGCTGCTCCAGGAAATGGCCAGGCTGGGCGCAGGTGTAGGCCCAGTGAGGGCCAGGCAGGCTGGAGAGGGGGGGCAGCCCTCCCCCAAGGCCACAGCGCCCTCCGAGGGTGGGGTGACACCCAAGGCCATTCATTGTTCCTCTCGCTGCCCTCTCCAAACCTCTCTCTGGACTCAGAGTCAGAAAGATACCCCCCCCACACACACACACACACAAGTGGCTCACACAGTGGCTTGGAGATGGGGTGCTTTTGAAACCCAACCCTCATGCCGTCCATGAACCCAGGAGGGGTTTCATTTTAGACAAGTCTCCTTGTAAATTCAAATAGCTTTACTGATCAGTTTTCCTAGTTTCCTTTTCGAACCATTGCCACTTGTATCCCCCAGATGCATCTCAAAGGCAATGCATCATCTTAGCTCAGTCACTTTCTGTCCCTCCCCCAACAACCTCACCACCAGCAGTAACCTCTTTCCCTGCATTTCCACACACACCCAGTCACTCAAGGCAGAAACTGAGCTCCACACTCTCATTCTTAACCCTTCAAGGTCCATTATAAGTCTTACCCATAATATTTCCCCATTGGTCATACCATCTTCTCAGCTATCGTTCATTTATTACGTATTCAACAACCGCTCCTTGAATATCTGACGTGCCACAGGCTGGGCTTTAGAGATAGGAAATTGCAGGCCATGAGCTCTCCTCTGTCCTCAAAGAGCTCACAGTTTGGTAGAGAAGACTGCTGTAAGTGACATAAACTGACCAAGGAATTCTTAAAACATCTGCATAGAGCCCAGTGTTTCTGAATCTCTTCTTGTGCCTGAGTTGATGCCCGTGTTTTCCACTCGTGACGATGGTCTGTAACTTTAAGAAGCAGATTCTCTACTATTGTCCCTTTTTCTCTGAGCAGACTTCCATTCTGCTTGTTTTTGAAGCTTACCAGAAAGTGTCAAAAGATATTCTGACAGTGAGCGAGCCTCGGGTTCCTTCCTCAAAGGGCCCATACGTGATTTGTCGACTGAATATTGAGAAACTGCGGGAGACCTGTCATAACACCAGACTAACAATGAAGGCCATCAGGTGGCAACTGTCACTCTGCCACCCTGTTTACACCAATCATTAGATGTATCCAGTGTCAGAGATGTGAAGATGGGAAAACAGTGCTATTTTAGAACCAAGGACATATGGAAATGAGGATTGCTTTAAAATTCAGCAATAAATTAGAAAATTCAACTTAGAAACCCTCAACTTTAATAAAGTCAAATTAAATTAAGCCCGGCCCTTCTGAATACCTGCACTGAGGGAGGCTGATTCTAAACCAACCCTTGGAACGGGGCTGCTTTTTAGTGCAGTGATTATACGCGGTGAATAGAAATTTGGAGAATGCAGGGTATGCTCATTCTTAAGAAACACAAAGAGATCTCTAACAGAATTCTTGCTGGCTGACGCATTCAGTGATAGGAAGTGTTCCTATCAGGAAGGAAGAAAAACCTGCTAAATTACCTAACGGAGGAAAGAAGTTATGCAAGTCAGTTTTTTTTATGTGCAAGTTCTACAGGAAAACAACGTAATGAAACCAGAAACCTGAGATACACTGGAGAAGGGAACATCTCCTCCTAGGAATACAGCACCATGAATATTTCAGAAGGTCTGTCGCTGTCCAGGGGAAGGACTGTCCTAGCGAATGCCATGAATGTGGAGTCCCTTGGGCAGGGGAGCAGATCGGGCTGCCTTCTATGAAGTCCACTCTGGGAATGGCCCAGACGAAGGTCAAGGTGCTCTTGCTGACACCGAGACATGCTTTCCGTCCGATTCTGCCTGCATTTCACACCTGCTCCAAGTGGAAGCCACTCTGGCTCATGCTCGGGTGCCCGTGAAGGCCGGTGCCCTTGTTCTGTCCACAGCAGTCAAAATTCATTGCAAGGAACTTTGCCCCCTACCTTTCTTTTACAGAATACCAAATATTTGGCAGCAAGGCAGGACTTTCTTTCGACACATTATATTTCGATGATAATTAGAATAATAATTAGCATAGCATTAGGAGCTTGGGCTTTGTGCGAAAATTCTGGGCTTGTCGTTTGCTCTTTGACGCAACCTTGGCCAAGTTACTCACTTTCTCTGAACCTCAGTGTGTCTTTCAGTATAAGGGGAATAATAGTGGCTTTGAGGGCTCTCGGAATTAAATTAGATGATCTATAAAAAGCACCTGGTGCAGGCACATAGCTCATAATAGCCTGTTCATAGGTGGCACATGGCCACTGTCCCTTACCCAGGTGTGTTTTTGTGTTTCACCATCAACCCCTCTTGGTCCAGCTTGAATTCATTTCTGTGTCCAAAGCGCACACCCAGCCCTGATTTCTCCAATGAAAGGAAGGCTCGGTTCTAATCACATGTTACAAATCATCTTATTAATGCAGCTGCCTCATTTGCCTTTACAGTTGGGCAGTAACTCTAGCGGGCTTCAGCTTGGGACGGGAATTTTCCAGCTGGGGACACCAAGGCCACCCATCTGTCTTCTCCCAGTCTGTTCGCTCCACCCAGATTAGGTCGGAGCTCATTGTGTTTAACCTCTCAGAGGGGCCCATCTGGCACCATCTAGTCGTATCAGTCATACATTTGCTCTAAAACGCAGAATCTTTTGCTAGGGTTTTATTTTTTACCCTTAATGCATAAGAACTTGGCAGGCATGACATTTTTAAGGGAAATTATATGCACATTCAGAAGCCTCATGACATTATAGAAATGAGGCGAATTAGATCTGTTCAATCTAGTGGTGGCTTTATGCATTTCCCTTCTGGAGATACTAGAATTTGGAGAGGATGTCCTTTAAGAGGCGATGAGGAATGCAAGTATAAATATAAATAGAGGAATAAATAAAAATGTTCCTGAAAGCCTCATGATTTCTAGGGACCGTGTCACCATTGGTAGCAACCAGTTCCCTGCTAGGTGACGCCTGCACTCACCTGTGCTCCAAAGGAAACCGAGGCAGGTTTTCTCCTTGGTCCGCTCCTCCTTGACTCTGAACGGTTTGCTTGAAGGAGCCCACAAGGAATGCACTGTGTGAATTAGCAAAGGCCATCTTTCACGTCTCTGACCTTGTGTCCCTTTTCAATGTTGGTATCCTAACTAGACTGGCTTTTTTAATCAACACCCTAAAAAAGTCATGTGAGTTAAGGTGCAAAGCTCTATTTCTGTTGTTTCCAGCATTCTGCTCAGCATGAACCTTCAAATTTCTGTGCCTTCCTTCGTTTGTTGTTGTTTTTTGGTGGTTTGTTTTTTTTGTGTGTGTTTTTTTTTAGCTACTTTCCTCCAACCCCCTTCCTAATGCCTTGTCAATTCTAACATTTTCCTCTCTCATCCACAGCAAATCACTCCAGATATTCACAGCTCCTCTAAAGTCTTCCAACTAAACCTATCCCTCTTCCTAAGAT